CAAACTCATTTTACATAACTAATGGAAATGTATTTGAAAAACCAGTGTTGTTTTCCTTAACTGAACTCCTCTTCAGACGTCCACAGCGGTAGAGGTGTGAAGATACAGAAGCGAGGCGGCGGAGGCGGTTTTGGATACCAGAAGTCCAACAAGGTGCAAAAATCCAAATTCTTCAAGCACGTCAACAAAGGAAAGGGTGACAAGAGGCAGTTCTCCCGCTGAAGCCCTTCAAAAGAACTAAATCCTGGACTGATTCCTCTTCTGTGCATTTGAAGAACTGGCCCCATTTTTTTATTTTGTATTACATGAACTTCCTGCTTTGAACCGGGTGCCATGTTGTTTAGGGACCACTCGTCCCTCAGACATTATTTACACCCTGTTTTCCTCCTACGAGTTATGTAAAGGTATATTGTAAATGTAAACATTGTGGGTGCTGAAGGATTCCTCATGTGGACGTCCTCTTCAACACAACTTTTCTAACATTTCTTCCTTCCTCCTGACTGGTAATATTAAATCTCTATTGACTTTAAATACATTGTTTGCTTCATCAATAATTATGAAGACACTTCTAATTACAATGAAGTCACTTCATATAAACCATTTGAGGTGCTGATGTACTCAATTTTATTAGTCAAGTCAGGTTTTCAGTTTATTACAGCATCTGTACATTCCTACAGAGTTAAAGGACTCTTGCTAAACATCTTGTCAACAAATTAGAGGAAAACAAATAGTCAGATAACAAAAACTGGCTGGCTTGCAGAGAGAATCTGGGATAATTACACATTACAAAGATGAACAAACCTTTCAGTCACCAGGAATTAATACAGTACCCACATGTTCCCTTTTCAAATGATTAAAAACCTAAAAAGCTTTCACTAAATGTAACTTAATCTCGAGTTATCTTCATTGTGAATTAAAGTAAGCTTCAAGATTTTCATGTGGACGTATGAAGACTGAAACATAACAAGTCTTAATGGATTGTATGTGTGGACAGATGTGATGAAGGGTTTCTTTATAGTCATACTGACTTCAATAATGATGAATTTAAAAAATAAAAATAAGTTCTTTAAAAACACCTGCATGGCTCCCACAATCCTCCTCTTCATACATTATAAAGTGCTGTTGAAAGCCCCCCAAGTACATTATTTCTTTGACCCAAATGTCTCATGAAACCTTTAACTGTAGGACAATAATGTCTCTTTCCCTTCTTCAGTTCCTCCCAGAACAAACCCGACTTCAACAAGGACAGAAGCTGAGCAGCAGCCACTTTTAAAAACAATTAGTCTCAGTCCACACGTCTAACGTCTGTTCAGTTGTGTTTGGATCTTTAAGCGAACAAACACTACGCACAGAACCGACGGTAAAAACAAACAGTACAGTATCTGCTGAGGTGATGAGGTACAATAGTGCAACTCTTTACTCGATAGGAACACCTGGTCTTAAAGGTTGAAGGCAAATTCAGAGTATTTACAGGATTGTGAGATTTTAAGAACACTTTCCCTCTTTCAGAAAAGGAAGACAAAGGAAGTCCAATCAGAACCCGGTCCATACTTGCTTCAGAACTCTCCACAGGTTGTGCGACTCTTCATTGCAGCTGGCACTTGAGGTTGATGATAAAACGGTGTTTATTCATTTCACAGTGATGGGAAACTACTGCTACGCGTCGCCCCGAGACGACTGCACATCACGCAGCCATTCATCAAGTCCTTTATTCAGTGTGAGCTCTTTCCCTCTTCCAGTGTTGCTCCATTGTCGGCTTTCGTGTTCCCATGAAGGTCTTCTACCACAATTACTGCTGGTGATCTGTGGGAGGAAAAAGATTATATTTATATGTTTTATTATTGTACTTTGAGTGTTCTCAGAGAGACTAACATTCAGATATAGAGCCAAACACATTTGTTCTGGTTGTGAAGCAAACGTGTGTGAACCCAATAGGACTGCTGCTCTGTCATGTAGCGTCTGACTCGTGTTTGTGGTTAAAACGGGTTCAGCTAAATCAGAATTTTACCAACAGGCAGAGAGGCTCCATGTTGATGTTATTAAGTTGCATTATGGGAAAGATCTGGTGTTTTTGGAGCAAATTATGGACTGAAAGTCAAAATTCCTCTGCCCTTGCTGTATCGATTTTTACCATCATCACTACAGACGTTACACTGAGTCAGACAAATATTTAAAAACCATTAATAGAAATCTAAATAAACCTCAAACACTTGTGAAATGTATTTAATCCTAAATCCGGTCTCCTATTCCCAGTTGCAAAACTCAATAGACGTAAATATTTTATGTAACTTCTATCCAATTATAAGCCGCTGTCTGTGCCTTCGTCTCCTCTCTCCTTGTTTATTACATTTCACTCTTTACCTGCTCATCGTCTGCAGCAGCAGCAGCTCTTGGCTGGATTTACACCGGCTCCCAGTAAAGTTCACTTTAAGATTCTTTAAATGACTTTGAAAGGCCCTTCGGCTCTGGCAACCAAATGATGTGAAAAGATAATTATTTTTATATAATTTAGGCTAGTTTTTAAGTAGTTTTAAGTTGACAGCTCCAAATAAATTGTCAAAATTGGTTGCCCTGGATTATTTTCAGGTTGAGACACATTTTGGATATCTGACTCAGACTCGCTGCTGCCTCTACATCAGAGTTCAGTCAGACCTTACATTAAACCTCTCTTCCACATCTCTCAGGTACGATGACCTCTAGTGGTGCTTGAGTGATTTAAACTTTAAACTGCAGCCATGCTAGTGACAGAGCAACGGCCCCTTTCAGTCAGCTGGAAAAAGTGAGAGAAGTAATAAATACAGTCACATGCAGACCCATAGAACATAAACACAAGGGCTGGACCAATACAGAGTTCATTCAGTTCACAATAACGTCACCCACAACTGATCTGATGGAAGGAACTTACTTTTACATTTACTCTGTTCAATTAGTATTGTAAGTTAGGTATTTAAATAGTGATAGTGATAGTGGAGAATGCATTTTCAGTGGCTTTTAGAATCTAAAAACGTGTATTGGAAATGAAATATCTGTGTTGGTCAAACCCTTTCGACACGCTGTTAGTGATGCCTAGAAATGTGAGCATGCCACAGCGAGCCCCCGTCACAACAAGAAGAAGTTAGTGCTGGAACTTCACACTGTCACACATGGCGTGCAGCAGCGGCAGTCGGACCTTAGGGGTCGGCTCTGGTGGGGGGAGGAGTGGGAGGGACCCCCCAGGGGTTGCCGTTCATCTTCTTTCCTAAACCTGTTGTAAGTGGAAGAGAAAGAAAGCACCTGAGACAGTCACACTTCTGCACCAGGTCACCACTCAAGGTTCAGGAAACATTAAAAACACATACAACTGCTGGAATAACTTCATTAATAAGACAAACGTGTACCGTTGGCATTGCAGCAAGGCTCTGTGGTCTCCCAGTTCATGGCTCTCTGGACGGCTTTCTTCCAACGAGCAAAGCGGAACTCGCTTTCTGTTCGTGAGGAAGACAGACAGACGGGTCAGGTGAGGCGATACGGTTCAAGTAGCTAAAAAAAGCTCATCATACATTTCCCCTGGGTGTGTTTTCTTTACCGTCAGAGTTGATCTGAGGTTCATATTTCTCCGATGTGATGTCTGGGAGGTGACCGGGACTCAGGTTCCACACTTTGACTCCCTCAGCTGCACCTGCTGCCATGGCTGCACCCAGAGCTGTGGTCTCAGACATGGTGGGTCGCACTGGACCAACAAGAGACACACACACACACAC